AGTCAAATGCCTTAGACACTATGCCACTAGAGCTTACACACACACACAGGAAATGGCTCACACAGTTGTACAGGCTGGCAAGTCCATTGGTCAGATAGAGACTTCTCCTGACTCATGCAGCTGCAGGGGCCAACAAAGCGAAGTTTAGTAGACAGTATAGCAGGCTACCGGCTTCAGAGGCTGACAAAAACAATATTGACAGGTAAAAGGATTGTTGGCTCACAGGCTGCAAAGGCAAAAATCTCAAGATTGGAAAGCAATATGGCAGGCTGCTGGTTCAAGCCTGGGAACCTATGAGCAAGATGCAGGATCAAGATCCAATAGAAAGCCAGAGAGAGTTTTCCCAGGATGTCCATACACATATTGGAAACAGGCCATACCCCTGAGGAAACTCCCTTTCAACTGATTGGCTGCTCATAGCAGATCTCATCATGGAGGTGCTTACATGATATCAGATCTCATCATGGAGGATGACTAGATCAGAACTTCTAAACCATTTTGAATCATGGTCCAGCCAAGCTGACACACAACAGCCTCATAGCTGTCAATGAGTAAAGGGACAAATTTTCATGAACTATTTTTTTAGCTCATGTAACCACCAAGTTCTTGGTTACCATGGAAACATATTCATTAAGAAAAAAATATTTACGCTTCTAGAAGACCTCGAACCTTTGGGAGCCTTTCAATTCCTTCATGTAGGGAGACTCACACTCCTCCAATTTGCAGATTGTTTATTAAATTGTGTAACAATAAAATATTAGGTTGTTTTGAGTTAATTCAAAGTTTATTTTTTTAACAATTGTAACTAGCCTACTTTGAGCCACTTATATATTGTTAGGAACAAAATGATCTCTCTGTACTCACATAGAATGACTGTTGAAATGAAAGCTATGTTTCAATTTCTTTGAGTTTTGATTATTTTTTAGTAGGGTGCTCAAATGCTCTCCCCAGCCAATCCCTCGATGTACTAGGTTCAGACTTTGTGGAAAGGAAAGAGCTGTGGAGGTGAGGCTGCCAGGTAAGGGAATGGCTAGTTTATATTAATGGAGAAAGGCTCCCAGGAGTGGTGGGCTAGATTTCCCAGTTAAAGGAGACAGAGGTGGGTTTTTTTTTTTTTTTTTTGCTTAGGAGACACTGAGTTTGTGCTCGTGGTGGAATGATTTGGAAGAGGATAGTGAAAATGATTGCACAACATGAAGAATGTAATCTGTGTCACTGAATTGTACATATAGAAATTGTTGAGATGGTGATTGTTTTGTTATGTATATTTTCACCACAATAAAGTAATAAAAATTGTATCTGGGGGGAAAAAAACCAAGATAATCAACAATTCAAAGAGTAGCATTTTATTAGTAAAAATGTCTTCCTTATGTTCAGATTACTACTTACGTACAAAGCAGCTGATTCTCACTGAGGCCCTTCTGATGGACACACACACTTTAAGCCCAAAATTGTCAATGAAATCTTCCTCTGTTACAATATTCACTTTCTTCTGCATTGGGTAAACTCTTGGTTCACAGAGAAGTGGTGGCAGAGAGAGCCAATTCTTTTCAAAGGCTCCCCTCATAACCTTCAACTCTTTGAAGGGGGCAGGAGAATCAGTGTTAGTCGTCTCCAACACATTGAAACCTGTTGCTTGATGCATGTGAGCCTGCATTTTACAATTAAATTTCAAAAATAGTTTTAAAAAATGAAATTTGAAGCTAATATTTGTGCAACTGCCAAAGCATTTCTTGGAACCCTGGTTTGAGAAATGACTAAGCAAGATCATCAGTAGGGTGCCACCTACTGTCCTAAGGTTTTTGCTGAAACTGTGTGGAATCTAAAGGAAGCAGGGAGAAGGAATAGCACCTTGAAGGTCTGCACTCTTTCATCGTTAGAGCAAAAGTGCCCTGAAGCAAGTGGGGCTTCTAGAAGGCTATGCGCAAAGAAGGAAGAGCCATTTCAGTAGGATGAAAAGAATTTGATGGTTGAACTTGCGAGAGGCAGATTGTCCAAAAGCAATGCAGAAAGGTGTAGGTAGCTCTTTCCATCTGTTTCCAATAGCCTCCAGTTTTAAAGATAGAAACCACTGCCATGGAGTCGGATCCAACTCATAGCGACCCCTCCTTGGGTTTCCGAGGTGGTATCACTATGGAAGGTTGGGCAATCCTTCCGAGGAGTGGCTGGTGGGTTTGAACCACCAGTCTTCTGATTAGCAGTCAAATGCCTTAGGCACTATGCTGCCAGAGCTCCCAAAGATAGAAAAGCACCTGTATTTTAAAGTTTTGGGAGCCAGTGAGTAGGACTGGAAGAACTGTACATTTTTAAAAAATGGTTTTAACTACTTCTTGGGTCTTGAACTTGACTCGTGAGCTAGAAGTATATAGGGACACTGTACCTGAACATGTAAATCTGAGCTAATCATCAACTTCTGAAATGGGAACATTTCACATGAAAATCTTGACTTCCAGCTTTGCATAAGACAATAAGGACATCTGGCAACAGTGGAAGGTTCTCCCCATGGTGACCCTAGGCTGAAGCTGGGTTGTGGCCACCCCTGCCCACTCTAGAAAGAGCACATGTCCCTCACATCCATACAGGCTCCACCACTTCTTGCTGTTCACCTGAGCTCTCCACCAAATATCCAGATTATTTGCTGGCCCCTGTTGGCATTTCCATCTGCCAACCATGGAGTAGATGATTGTGCTTATGAGACTAAAATTTAAGTGAGGTCATCAGGCAAGGATTGGGATAGAAAGTTTCCTGTTCTCGTTTCTCACAAGTTCTTATAACTTGAGCTTGTGATCTTAAATAAATTATAGCTATTCCCCAAGTCTCAATTTCCTTGTCTGTAAAATGGAGGCTGAAACTCCTGCCCTCCCTAATGTATGGGCTGTAATGAGGATTGAATGACAGTATCTGGTGCTTTATAAACTGTAAAGATTTGTAGTTCAGATCTATTGTTTGTCCTGCCTTACATCCATCCTCTCTTTGTATGGTACCAGCACCCCCGTTTCCTGAGGAAACACCTTTACCCTTCTCAGTCCACACTGGGTGGTGTTTAGTCAAGTCTCAGCCCCAGTGGAGGTCATTGGGTCAGGCTGGCCAGATAGAGTGCTACATTATTGCAGAGACAATGATTGGTTTCGAGATGGGCATATGAGCCAATCAGTGACAACAGAGTCAGGGTCAGGACTTTGGTTAGAACTCTTGAGAAAGGGAAGCTGTATTTTTTTCTCCACTGAACTTGGAGACGGCATGTTGGTCACTACACTAAGAGATGGCAGGTCTGAGAATGGAGCCAACAAAGAGGAAATAAAAATGGAAGTACAGGTCAAGTGGGATCTGGGTGGCATAATCTGAGGCCCTGGGATCCAATACACCTCAGCAAACACATACCCTTTGTTTCAGCAAGATTGAATGGGGCTAACTCATTAGAGTCCCCTGCCCCCATTGGGGGTTCTACAATATTAGACAGACTTGTGAACGTTTGTTTGGTTTGGATTCATTTCCCTCAGCACTCTCTGAGTCCTGGGGTGCTCCTGCCGTGGTGGCCAGCTCTTCTCTCTGCCTGGACTTGACCAGCCACACTGCCTTCTTGAAGTTCTTGATAGGGTCCTGCTGTGAGGTTCTTGATGAAGGGCATTGGAAACGCTCACGGATGAGATAACCGTGTCTGGTGGGAGCAATGAAACCATTTGAGGTTGGGATAATTCTGTTCACCACAGCATGGACAAACTGGACAGTCAGCAGGGTGCCTGTGGGGGTAGAAGGAAGGACACAAATGAGGAAACCAGGGAGAAGAGGTCCAATATCTCATAGTCTGGGATTGACTACATGGGGTCAAATCCATGTTATGCCCCTCATTAGCTTGAGCATGGCATTTAACCTCTCAGAGCTCTACTTGTCTGATATGTAAAATGGCAATGATAACGAACTTATCTGCCAATAGGAATTTTTAAAAACTTTATTTTTTAACGCATTTTATTGAAATATAATTTATGTACAGTAAAATACACAAAACTAAAGTGACATGGGTCAATGCATTTTTTTTTCCTGCAGTGTTCCCTCCCCTCCCCTCCCACCCCTGACAACCAACAAAGAAAGTCTCCTTCCATATATAAACCTTTCCTTGACCCTCCACAACAATGGACTAATACTATACTTGTCCTTCTGTGATTGACTTATTTCATTCAGCATAATGTCCTCCACCCACAGAGCTGGTGCAGGACTGGGTGGTGTTTCATTCTGCTGTGTATAGGGTCACTATGAGTTGAAGATGACTTGATGGCACCTAACAACAACAGTGTCCTCCAAGTTTGTCCATATTATGTGTTGTTTTGCAGACTCTACTTTATTCTTTAGTGCTGCATAGTGTTCTGCCAATGGAAATTTTGAAGATTTGAAGATACCATGCATATCACATACATGGTATGCTTGGTAGTGGGTTTGGCCCAGAATGAGCCCAATACATACTTTTATCATTGGAGGAGAAGTAGGAAAAGAGGTTGTGAATCTGACCAGGATGGGCTTTTAAGGCCACAATTCTTAGCTCTCAGCTTCTGATCCATCTGTGGCTTTTTGCCAGGTGTATTTGCTACATTGTATTAGACTACAATGTGTTGGATTTTACTAAAATTAATCCAGACATTTATTTGCTTTGTGACATTGGGTAAGTCCCATAAGCTCTTTGAACTCCACCTTCTTCAATTTAAAATGGGGATAGAAATGACACTTACCTTCCTGCCAGTGTCATAAATGTTCAGAGAGGTAATACATGATGGGTCTTCTCTATAGAAGATAGTGTTGGAAAATGACAAAGTGTGAGTGTAGGAGACAGTTTTAAACCTCAATCTACCTATTCCTCACTCTGTGACCTTGGGCAAGTCACTAGCCTCTCACAGTATTCGCTCTATAAAACACTGTTGAAATTGTTGAATATGAAATGAATCTGCTCTGTAAAATTCCAATCAAGTCACAATAAAAAATTTTTGATGCTGTTGAAATAATTAAATGACTCAGTGACAGTGCCTAGTACACAATTCATATTAACTGTTGCTAATGTCATTTTCACGTAATATTGAAAAAAGCAAGAGACATTGGGTTTTCAAAGTAGTTACTCTTAAATAGCCTACCCCTAACATTTGCAGGGCCTAAACAAGAGAACAAATCTATAAAATACAATATTTAAACGTAAATCAAGCTAAACAGCCACAAAAAACTGTTGTCATTGAATGACTGACTGTGGTGTAATAAATTACTTAGTGTGGCTTTTCTACCCATAAGTCTTTGTAAACTCCAAGGTAGGATTTTCTATGGGCAACTGAGGAGCTCCTGATTGCTGAAGTTGTCCACCTGGAGTATTTCTGTTGGGAGTGGCACAAAACAATGTTCTGGGAGGTGCCCAGTCTCTCTCAAGTGCTTAGAGCTCTGATGCTATGATTGGCTAGTTGACCACTCTGCCGGGCTCAAAAGGAGGCCTCCTAGAGGAAGAAATCTCTCTGACTGCTGGTTGAGAAAGATGTGCTGCTGAAAGAGACACGGGCTCCTGAAACACATGTTGCTGGGAAAGAGACACAAGGAGACACACATCGCTGAGTGAGACATTGAGGGACCAGCACTGCTGGGAAAGAGACTGTGAGAGACTGTTGGCAGAGGGACGGTGGGCTGGGAGAGAGACTGAGCATTTTTTTTTCCTGAACCTGAATTGTAGCCTGTGGTACTTCCCCAATGAACTCCATAATCTGTAAGTTCTGTGTGGCCACTGCAGCGAATTATCGAACCCAGGAGAGAGGTGGTGGGTGCTTTGGGAGGAACGGTTGGTGAAAGGGCTGGAGGGAGGCAGTATGTCTGGCCTTGCAGTAATAGGCCTTGGGTTACTGCTGGTAATCCTGTCTTCCTCTTGTGGGATTACAGGAGGTCAGAACATGTGGCCTCCTTGCCGTTTTTGTACTGACTCATGGCAAATGTGTGTCAGAGTAGAACTGTGCCCTACAGAGTTTCAGTGGATGAATTTTTGGAAGTAGATTGCCAGGCCTTTCTTCTGAAGTGCCCATGGGCAGGCCCAAATTTCCAACCTTTTGGTTAGAAGCTGAGCATGTTAACCATTTGCATCACCCAAGAACTTCAAATCAAGCTAACATACTGTTAAATAAAACATGTTCTGTCCTTCTGCATCGATGAGTGTCTCTTTAGAATAACCCAGAAGGCCAGGTTTGGATTGAGAATTCTTGGGCTCCTTAGAGTTCAAGGTGAAAGGTGGTAGTGTGTGAAATTGTCTGTGGCTTGCCCAACTTCTCTTCCCATCCCCAGCTCCATCTTGCATCTCCAGGGTGCTCATATATATACATATGGACCCTGTCTGAACCCAGGCCCCACATCACAATCCCACCCACACCATTCCATGGAAACTCCCCAAGTCTAGAAGCACTCACACAGCAACACAGTCCACTCTCCCAAGAGTGGATCAGGGGAAGGGGCCAACATAGGCACTAAAGAAGAATCAAGGCCATGTGAAGAGGACAATCTAGAGTTTCAGATATTCAAAATAGTTTCTAGAAGAGGGCTGTGGGCTGCTGGTTGGGGAAGCATTTCTGCCCTGCAGGCACTTTCCCAGCACAAAGGGTCCCAGCTGGAGAAGAGCAAAGCAGGACACTCTAATGGCCAAGACCCAAGACACAGCCCTTCTTCTTCTCAGATAAGAAAGTCAGTCCTGCCCTGTTATGGATTTAATTACATCCTCCAAAAACATGTGTGTAACTCCTAACCTCTATGCTTGCAGTGAGGTGTTCTAGTGGTGCAGTTGTGGAATGCTGAAGTGGAAGGCTGAACCCCTCACTGAAAATTACAGAACTTTAACAGACTAGCAGGCATGATTAAACTAGTAGTTGTCATTGTTAGGTGCTGTCGAGTTGTCTCTGACTCATACCCACCCTATGCACAGAATGAAATACCACCCAGTCCCATGCCACCTCCACTACCCTTGCTATACTTGAGCCCATCACCGCAGCCACTGTGTCAATCCATTTCATTGAGGGCCTTCCCCTCTTTCGTCCACCCTCCACCTTACCAAGCATGACATCCTTCTCCAGGGAATGGTCCCTTCTGACAACATGACCAAAGTAGGTGGCACAAAGTCTGGCCATTCTCACTTCCAAGGAGCATTCCAGCTGCACCTCCTCCAGGACAGATTTGTTAGATCCTTTCGGAGACCATAGCACTTTCAGCATTCTTTGCCAGCACCACAACTTGAAAGCATCGACTTTTTTCAGTCCTCCTTATTCATTGTCCAGTTCTCACATACATATGAGGTGATTGAAAATACCATGGCTCGTGTCAGGCACACCTTAGTCCTCAAAGAGACATCTTTGCTCCTCAGCACTTGAAAGAAGTCCTTTGCAGCCAACTTGCCCAGTGCTATACATCGCCTGATGTTTTGACTGTTTCTTCCATTGGTGTCGATTGTAGAACCAAGCAATGTGAAGTCTTTGAGAACTTCAATCTTTTTTCATTTATCACGATGGTGCTTATAAGTCCAGTTGTGAGGATTTTTATTTTCTTTATATTGAGATGTAATCCATACTGTAGACTGTATTCTTCACTCTTCATCAGTTAGCGCTTCAAGTCATCCTCACTTTCAGCAAGCAAAGTTGTGTTGTCAGCATATTGCAGGTTGTTAATGATTCTTCCTCCAGTCTTGATGTCACATTCTTCTTCATATAGTCCAGCTTCTTGGATTATTTGCTCAGCATATAGATTGAGTAAGTATGGTGAAAGGATACAACCCTGATGCACTCCCTTCTTGATTTTAAACCATGCAGTGTCACCTTGTTCTGTTCGAATGACAGACTCCTGGTCTATGTACAGGTTCCTCATGAATACAATTAAGTGTTCTGGAATTCCCATTCTTCTCAATGTTATCCACAATTTGTTATGATCCACACGTTAAAGTACTTTTGCATAGTCAATAAAACACAAGTAAACATCTTTCTGATATTCTTTGCTTTGAGCTAAGATCCATCTGACATCAGCAATGATATCCCTAATTCCACATCCTCTTCTGAATCCAGCTTGCATTTTGGGAAGTTCTCTGTCAATATACTGCTGCAACTGTTTTTGAATTATCTTCAGTAAGATTTTACTTGGGTGTGATATTAATAATATTGTTTGGTAGTTTCCACATTCTGTGGGATAACCTTTCTTTGGAATGGGTATAAATATGGATCTCTTCCAGTCAGTTGGCCAGGTAACTGTCTTCCAAATGTCTTGGCATAGCTGAGTAAGTGCCTCCTGTGAGGCATCCATCTGCTGAAATATCTCAATGGGTATTCCCTCAATTCCTGGAGCCCTGTTCTTCACCAATTCCTTCAGTGTGGCTTCGACTTCTTCCTTCAATACCTTCAATACCATTGGTTCTTGAACATATGTCACTTCCTGAAATGCATGAAGATTGACTAGGTCTTTTTGGTACAGTGACTCTGTGTATTCCTTTCATCTTCTTTTGATGCTTCCTGCATCATTCAATAATTTGTCCATAGGATCTTTCAATATTGCAACTCAAGGCTTAATTTTTTTCCCTCAGTTCTTTCAGCTTGAGAAATGCTGAATATGTTCTTCCCTTTCGGTTTTCAAACTCCAGGTCTTTGCACATTTCATTGTAGTAATTGGGTTTGTCCAGTTGAGCTGCTCTTTGAAATCTCTTCAGCTCTTTTTTTTTTTTTTCCATTTGCTTTAGCTACTCTCCACTCAAGGGCAAGCA